TTATAATATAAAATAGGTTATAATTTGCCCTTTATTAGGCTCTGTGTGCAGAAAGTTGCTGTGAGTCTGGGACAGCCTGGACAACAGCTAACATCAGCACCTGAGTAGATCACAGCCCTTGTGTACGTTTGTCACCCTGTGTTGCCTTTGCTGTATGCACAATGCTGGAAGCTTTGCCACCAGTATTTCTCATACCTTCAAGGGTTAGCCCTGGTGGACAGGTTTCAGTGGAGTTTCCAGACTAAGACTAGAAATAGAGAACCTGGTGATCTACTTCTAAAATTTAGTAAGGAAAATATTTGGATTGTAACAGATTATTATCCAGGATAGTTCTGGAAGACAAGACCCCTGTGTTGGAAAGCACCACACAGTCTGTTGGGATGTCTTAGAGATCATAAAGGTAATAATGGACTGGGCGGTGCTGCTTTCTGTTACACGAAGGGTCACCACGGGGCAGAGAGCATTCAAGGCGTCTCAGAACAGCAGTAACAGATGAATTGATGTTTCTGCAGACTTGCACACCTATAGATGTTTATTTCTTCAGGGATTAGGCTCATTGTGTGCACAGTTTTCTATCGTTTCCCCTTTGCTTTTATGTGTATTTTCCTTGCAAGTAGGCTTTCATTTCTTACTAAGTAATATCAGTACATTTATCTCTTCAAAGCTGTTTCACACGAGTGTGAAGGCAATTTGGTCCACAGGTCATAATAAATCACCTTGTTTTTTAGAATTGTAGTGATTCTGTGCAATGTGTGTGTACAGTGAAAACAGACTTTGCACAGGCCATCTCCACACAGCATCATGCCACTGATTACATTCTTCAGGTCATGAAACTACTATCCTTGTTCTCCTTTCCAGTTCATTCCACCATCATCTACTTAAACTGTTCTGGAAGCAAAAACTGACACTATCCCTGGTGAACAGTCTTTGTTTTCTGTATAGTATTTCATATATGTGACAGCATATTTGTCCTTTCACAGCTAATTTCTGTCCTCAGAATGATATTTCCGGGGCCAACCCCTGTGGTGGCAGGCATTAGGACTTCCGTTTTTCTTTGTGGCTGAGTGGCCATCCTGTGTGTGTATGTACCACGTCTTGTTTATCCATGGACATTACTAAGAACTCCCCCCGCCCCTTCCACCTTTGGCTGTCATGGGAAGTACTGAAATAAATATTGTGTACAGGTTTCTGTTGGCACACTGCCTTCTGATGTACAAGGATTGGCACTGTAGGGTCTGGCGATAGTTCTATTTTCAGCTTTTTGAGGAACTGCCAAGCTGTGTTCCACAGTGACTGTACCATTCTCTATTCCCTCCAGAAATGGACAAGGGTTTGTTACCCCACAAGCTTAATACTTCTGGTTTCCTGTATTTTTAATCATTGCTCAACTACTAACCTAAAGATTTGCTGCTTCATCTCAACTCTCAATATTACAAAAGAAAGTCCTGATTATCTACTTCCATAAAAGTACAGCCTAGGAAACCCATTGGCCAGTTCTTTCCAGAAAACCCAACACTTTGGGTTCCCAGGAGTCAGAATCAGCGCTGTAGAAGTGGGTTTTCTTTCAGCTATTTGGTTTTGGTTTAATATAATGAACATCTTTTCATATGCTCGCTGGTCCTTTGCCCGTTTATTGATTATTGTGGGATTTTTTTTTTAATTTTTAAATTTTATTATTTCGTGTGAGTGTTTGTGTGTGTGTGTACCATCAAATCAGACTGGTACATGAGGAGATTGTTCCTCCTTCTCCAGCAGAGCATCTGGTGGATTTGAACTTTGCACCTCTGGGATGATTATTGTTGTTTTTAAGTGCCTTCAAGTTGGATTCATAGCTGGTCACCTAGCTTTTAAAATACATTTTGAAAATACATTTTCAGATGTATTAAATGACATGGGAGGAGATTGCCCATCTTTTTGCTACAGCAGCAGGTGGATCTGAACCACCTGACTTTGGGTTGGCAGCACAACTATTTACTTACCTGTAGGCCACCACAGCTCCTTTTTATTTGTATATTGGATACTAGAGTTTTAGCAGGAGAAGGATGAACAATCTCCTCCTGTGAAATTACTGCCTCTGAAAACCTGCAGGAGGGGTCAGCTGTGGGTCGGTTCCCACTCGATGGTATACACACCACCACCAGCACTAGAATTTTATGTGGTACAGCATAAATCTTTTCATGAACAAAAATAGTTCATTTTTATGAAATCCCATTTAACTGTTTTATCATTTTTCTATTTATGCTTTTGCTGCCACATTTTATAATCTTTCATAAAAAGATAGATCTCCAGCAAACAACAAATGCTGGTGAGGTCGTGGACAAACTGGAACCCTTACTCACTGTTGAGTGTATAAAATGGTGCCAACACTGTGGAAGGTGGTGTGGCGCTTTCTCAAAAAGTTGCAAATAGAAATACTATTTGATCCAGCAATTCCACTACTGGGAATATACCCCAAGGAAAACCATAATCACCACCCAAGCAGATATATGCACACCCATGTTTATCGCGGCTTTGTTCACAATAGCAAGGAATTAGAAGCAACCTAAGGGCCCATTAGCAAACAAATGTATAGAGAAGCACTGCATTCAAAAACAAGGAATTCATGAAATATTATTCAAAATGGATGACCCTGGAAGACATTATGCTGAATGAAATATCTCAGTCACAAAAGGACAAAGGCCACTGTTGTAAAACGGGACTGACATAGGGGTTGGGGAAGAAAGATGGGATAAATTACATACACTACATTGAAACAGATGAGAGAGAACTGTTTAAAAGGTATATATGATTAGGTATTATTGTCATGGCATGAGTCCAGAATGAAGGCTGCATAGTGGAGTGGACTTGGGGAGGGATTGTATAACAATGAAAGAATTTTTCTTTTACTTTTCAAAGAAAAGAACAAACTGGAAGGGAGGGGTGGGCAGGGAGAAAAGGTGCAACGATGAATGAATGGAAATTCAAAATCTCTGTAAATTTTCATTAAAATTAGTAATAAATTTAAAAAATAGATCTCCTAGGCAGAAACATATATATATATATATATATATATATATACACACACACACATATTTTAATTTCTTTTTATTTTTCTCCTGAGAATTTATGATTTTAGTTTCCACAGTTAGGTGACCAATTCCTGTTGGATTGATTTTTGTGTCTGGATCCTGATTCACTCTTCTGTATGTAGAAATTCTGTGTTGTCAGAACCATTTTTTTGAAAAGCCTTTTTTTCTGTTGAATGTTACTGTGGCACCTTTATGAGCCATCAGTTGACCGAAGATGTATATATTAACTTCTAAACTTTTCATTCTATTCTGTGTGTCTGGACGTCAGGCAGCGTGAGGGATCAGCCCGCTGCCTTTTCAAGATTGCTTTACCCCCTCAGGGTCCTTTGTCCTCCCTTTGAGATTGCCTTTTAACTTCTTTTTAAAAACATTAGATTTTTGAATCTTAGTGTTCTCCTATTCATAAATTATTTTGTGTAATAAATAGTGATATGTTAAAATAACATTTTTCTAGATTACTGCTTGGAGTCTAGATACAGTTACATGAATTTTATTTTAAAATAGACATTCTCAGACTAGCAGAGTGTCTGTCTATCAGAGACATTTTGGCTCTTTGGAGCCTAGAAGTAGTCTGTTGATATCTGAAAATAAGGGTAATAATAACAAGTGTGAAGACGCTTTAGAGAGCTCCGCAAAGAAATTAAGTAGACAGGATGTCTGTTTCAGATAGCAAATGGTTCAGCATAGGGCAAGTATCCATTCTTCTGATACCAACATAGGTGAGTATGTTTTCTTTGCATTTGTTTTGCTGGAGTTTTCTTTATATTACCTTGAAGAGTTCTGATTCTTGATCTTTAACTTTGTCCCCGTGTGTTTTTTGAGAATGCTGTGATGAAAGTATACTCAACCTTTATCCTCTTTGGACATAGGACATTTTCTTTAAGAATTCCAAGATTTGTTTAGAACCTCTTGCAACTCTGATTCCAACCTATATTTTGTACTGCAACTTTGGAGGAGCAGACATTTTTCTAAGGTTTTTATTACTTTTCTTTCACTTAATAACTTACTATATGCCAAAGCTGTTAACATCCCTTTATATACTGGGGTTTCTTAGGCCTTGTTCTCCCAGCAGTCATTTAACTTGATGGAGAAGGGTCTTTGACACTCTGGAGGTACTCAGCTGATCTGTCCTGCAAGAGAATGTAAAATTCTCAGCAATTTTTTTTAAAGGATAAAAGATTTTACATGAACAGGAAAATTTCTGTTTGAATGAGGTGGTTTTAGGACATATTTGTAGATATTTGGGGATTATTTTTCCTCTTCTTTGTAGTTTTGTTATTTCTAGGGAGAAATTTGAAGAATACCAAATGGCTTAAGCATGCGTCTGTTTAATTTACAAATAATTGTTCTTCCATTGTACCAGGCATGTAGTAAATGCTTTGTAATATGCAGAGCTTGACTAGAATTATGCAGTGCACTCTGGTGAAAAACAAGTTAGGAGCTGACAAATTATCTTTTTTAAAATCTTGTACACTATTTTGTAACTTTTGAGGACACAGGAGACTGACTGTAAGAGTGGATAATATTTTAGCAAAGACAAAAGTCATCTGGCAGTTGCTGGCATCTGTAGGTTGATGGGTGTGGCTAAAACTTCAGGGATGTGGGGGGGGGGGGGAAGTCCTGGACAGTAGGTATGTTTAGTTAACAAGGAAAGGTGAATGAAGCAGAAGGGTGAAAGACGGTGGTGACTAAGTCACAAAGGGCTTATCTAGCATAATCATGAGTTAGGTCTTTTTCTCTTTGTCATCTAGAAGAGTTACCTAGCAAGTGCTTACTGTCCTCTAGGTACTATGTTAAATATTTTACAAATGTTCACTAACTCTTTTCATCAACTCTCTTAAGATACTAAACTGTGAGTACTCAAGACTTAGTGGTAAGTGCCAATGCAGAGATATGCGGTTCAATTCCACCAGCTAGTCTGTGGAGAAAAATGGGCAGTCTCCTCTTGTGTGCTTTATAGCCTCTGAAAACAACTGGAGGGTCACCTGTGGGTCACTTCTGACTAGATGGTACACAACAACAACATAAGGAAAGGTGGCGTAACCTGTAGGATTTGAACTGTTAACTCGAAGACTATACATTTCCAGTGGTTTGTGTCCACCAGCTAATCTGAGGAAGTATGAGCACTCTCCTTCTGTTAGGATTTACAGTCTAAGAAACTGATTGAGACTTGTGATGAGTTTGCATAGCACAGAGTGGTAAGGAGGCAGAAAAGATCAAAGAGCAAAACAGTATTTTCTTGTCAACAGCCAGGGTTAGTGTGGATCTGGAAAAATTATTCCTTTAAAAAGAATTGTTGGCAGCAACAGGAATCTATCAGTGAGCAAAGTCAACAAAAATGGAATTTATGTTCTACTCAATGAATTTTAGTATTTCTACTACAACACTATTATTCATACTATAAACAAATATAATGCTTAGACAGTTAATCATACTAGATACTAAATTCAAGTTACAATTTAAATTATAAATTAGCACAATTTGTCTTAACAGAAAATGAGAGTTAAACAGCTATAGAAATGGCAGTACAAGACAAGTTTTCATTGAATTATCCACGGATGTGTTAGTTACTTCAGACTTAGGCAGTGAATCTTTCTATAGTTGTTACTGACTTTATAAGCATTTAAGTTCTGCCTGTACATTTCTTCTATTATTCCTTAGGCAAATAGACTGAGAATCGGCTAACCTTAACTTGTTAACCTGGCTCACAGTCTTTCCTTTCCAGGCACATAGAAATGGATTGATTACTCATGTTTTGTTTTTCCTCTCATGTAATTCAAGATCATTTCAATTTTTAAGATAATTTATTTTGTTGTTATTCAAAATGTAGATACACACAAAGTGCACACAAAGTCAGCACTTTCCTCATGCACACTTCACTAATATGAATTACGTTCTTCAAGTTCAGCAACCATTGTCACCCTCATTTTTTGAGTTGTTCATCCCCTGCTAACATAAGTTCACAGCCCCCTAAGGTTTCTCGCTAATATTTAGAGGTGCTGTTAAACCAACCAGCTTGGCCATTTAACACTGACATTTTCCAGTTAATTGGCAAGACTTTGCAGAAGCTGCATGCATATATGTATATGTTCTATAAATGTTCTAAATCAGACAGATCAGAGTAAGTAAAAATCCTTTGCAGAGAAGTCTGGGTTCACAAAGTTAATTTCAAATTGATTTTGTTCAGATTAATTTTACTGTAATAATTTCTCTTAAAGAATGGAGTTCTTTTCTACCATTTTCATAAAATCAGGACCTAAGTCTCTTATCAGTGTACTTTTGTATTTAGGTATTTTACTTAAAAAATAAGATGGTTTAAAATGGTATTGAACTTTTGTACAAGAAGTTATGCTACATTTTTTAAAAAAATAAGATTCTATAGGTACTTCAGCAATAAGATGATAAATTTCCATAACTAGTTATCCATAATAGACTTTTTTGTAGGGTTCATTTCCCCTCTCCCACTTGCTTTTTAAAATGCAAAATTGGAGCTTGGGTTTGGAGTGTTTGATGCTGCCAGATGCCTGGTGAGCTAAGAGGGGCACCATGAAATCAGTTCAGCTCTTTTGAAACCTTGGACCCCGCAAGAACCACAAATACCACGTGTTCCCTTGAATATATGCAGTGAGATCATGTCCTCCCTTCTTTCTAAGGAGCTATGGCAGATGCACAGTGTCTGCTCTGCCCATCTACCAGGACAGCAAGGTCCAGGGGCTTGCAGGACACTGAGCTGCACAAATCAGCATATTGGCAAGACAGTCCAGGTGTACAGAAAGAAGTACGTCATCAACACTAAAAGAGTGCAACTGTCCATGTGGACATTCACCCAAGCAAGCTGGTTATCACCAGGCTGAAATTGGACAAAGATAAGAAAGAATTCTTGAACACAAAGCCAAATCTCACCAAGCTGGAGCAGAGAAAGGCAAATATAAGGAATAACTTACTGAGAAAATGCAGGAGCAAATAGAATCTCATATATTCATATATATAT